TGGGGCGGGGGGGCGTGGTTGGGGCGGGGGGCGTGGTCGGGGGGGCGTGGTCGGGGGGGCCGTGGTGGGGGGCGTGGTCGGGGCGGGGGGCGTGGTCGGGGTGCATTAGCAGTCTGGTGCGACTTGAAATTAATACTGTAATTGCATAGCATCGACCGAATTTCAAGTTACTCATTTTGTTATTCACCATGCTGGGCTTCTCAGATCTAAGGAATTCCCCAATTTGAGGGTTGAATTAAGAGTGGAACTGGCCAGAGTGGACAATGTAATGTTTAGGGATATCAGATATCATAACACATGAAAATGTAAGGGCCTGTTTGTGGACAGTTACAGCATCTAGTCTGTCAGGAAATCATGAACACAGGGAACAGCAGAGGTTTTTGGCAGACATTTATGAAAGGACAAGTGTATCACCTTGCTTAGTAAACCTGAAGGATTTCCAAATCTGTTAATCAACTCCACGTTTACCAGGAATATTGTCACCAACATGAGGTTGGGAGATATCTAATCTGTTTAGAGTAGAAGGGTCAGAGTTGAGAGAACCAAAGACACTTGGACAATCATTAATTTTACATTGCTTTCCCAGTATTTTCGGAGAGGGACTTAGTCTATACATATTATGATTTCTCTAACAAAATCTTCACAATCACAACTCAAGTTCTTTCTACTCAAAGCTCATTAACGGAGATGCTTGTTTAACCCACAATGAGAAATGTCAAATATCCTGGTTTTATAGTTTGGGTGTTTGTAAAAGGTTTCAGATTGGATCTAAACCAGGCGAGAACATGTACGTAGACTCACGTCAAGATTATTTATGAATTCTGTGATTGTGGTTGCAGATAAATTGGCTAGGGTTTATTATAGTAACACCTCTGCTTCTGTCTTCCGGTCAACAGGCTGGCTGTCACTTCCAGCTCTTAACTGTTTCCTTTGGTGGTGGTAAAAAGGATGTCTTTAGAAGTCGTCTAATTCCTCCCATTACACATCCCTCTATGTCCATCTGTCCTGGGTTTCCTGTCTCACTAGCCAATGTCTCCGGCTGGTTCTTACTAACCGCTACCACTTACCTGCTTTCCATTTGCTGTAACCAGCAGTCGACTCTCACACGTATGCGCGCAACAGAACATCGTTTGTGTTTTAAGGTACACCTCTATACTTTGGAATGCTTTGACTAAACGAGCCCTTTTGGATTCACCACCACACCTGCACTTAACTTGTTTATAAGAAGAGGAAGTTGACCAGAGCGAAAGCACTACCACTGCAGCCTTGCACATGTTGACGTGACGTACATCAATACATCTGCTGAGCTGCGATTCAGTAATGTTCCCATAAAACAGGTCGACATCAGCAACTACCTCACGCAATGACTGACCGCTTGGTCTAAAATGGAGGCTTTGGAAAATAATAATTGTGTATACCTCAGTAGTTTGTTTCAGACCTTGCTCCGCATTCAAAACACGCTCCGACACCCAACTGTGTGTCATTTATGTACTAATGTTCCAATAATGTACAAAACAAATCTCACTGAGCTGGAAATCTGTTCATCATCTCTATGGACAGAAATAACCTTCAAACTCGCAACCCTGGTGAAACATAACACCAAAACATGAATATGGTTGGTTTGCGTTTTACACCATTGATTTGTGCTTAGTATAGGCGTTCCCAGACACTGTGTGATGTTTGTGTAACTCTCGTCGGTGCAAGTTGACAACGTGTTTGCATGAGTTCACAATACAAGTACAGATGAGGATATTAATAAGTCACATTGTCTTAGAGACTAATTAAAACTACTGCGCTCTGTAAGCCTTTGCGAAACCACAGACTTGAACTAGGCCTCGGTCGTCATTTCCCCTACAGGATAAATGAGTTGTGAAAACTCAAAATAAATTGAGACTTCCTCTACCGAGTCGTGGTCAGACCGCTGTTTATGCCTGCTCTAACGTGAGCTCACTTTAGACACGTAAATCTCTGAGATCAACGGTCCCTTCACCACCATGCGAATGAGGTGTACATCCATTTCTGCGTGGAGGAGACAGCAAAAAGCAGGCCTCGGGCTGGACTTACAACCAGCTCTTCACGTTCAGACTTTGACACGGCCAAGACACAATACTTTTCAATAATAAAAAAAACTGGAATAATGAAGCATTTTTTGAATTACAGTTCATTCGTTCGGACGCACTCGCTTTTGAAGAGCTAGAGCAACATTTCTCAAGGCTACAGCGGAGGCTTGTTGGCAATTGCTCGCCGTCATTTTTTTAACAGTTTTGTGTAAGATTTCACTTGGCTGCCTCAATATACCAGCCATGCCAAGAGTGCTTGGGAAAGTGATTTCAAATAGAAATATTCCAATGGGAAGTCTGCAAAACCTGGATGTTATTCATTCGAAGAATATTCCACTTCTGCTACTACTGTAGTTGAGGGACATGTTGGTTAGAAAAATAACTACCGTAGTTCAGTTATATCACACGCCCTTGGTGTTATTCTCTCATCAGACATCATTTAATATTTAACAATGCTTCGAAGGTTCTTATTTCAAATGTCAGACTTATGCTAATAAGTATGATAACTATTAAGTATGATAGCTAATAAGTATGATAGCTAATAAGTATGATAGCTAATAAGTATGATAACTAATAAGTATGATAGCTATTAAGTATGATAACTAATAAGTATGATAGCTAATAAGTATGATAGCTAATAAGTATGATAGCTAATAAGTATGATAGCTAATAAGTATGATAACTAATAAGTATGATAACTAATAAGTATGATAACTAATAAGTATGACAACTAATAAGTATGACAGCTATTAAGTATGACAGCTATTAAGTATGACAGCTAATAAGTATGATAACTAATAAGTATGATAACTAATAAGTATGATAACTAATAAGTATGATAACTAATAAGTATGCACTGTATCCACTTTACACATCTATACTCTTGACTGTCTGACTTCTTTGGGAGTTTTACAAGGTATTTTTAAACGGTGCTGAAACAATATCATAGATTGTCTGACTGCTACCCAAATGTTCTGATGGTGTTTCTTCTCTTCCTGTCCCGTAGGTTCTGTTGCTGTGCTTGTTGATCACCATCATCGCGGTTATATTCGGCTTGAGGCAGCGTGGGAAAGTTGACGGTACGTAATACGGCACTTCCCGCCAGTATGTACGGTTCTGTGTAGTCGTTCCTGCGTCGCAAAATAGACTAATTGTGACACACGAACAAAAGCACCATTGTTTTCAAGAGTCCGCCCAGTAAAACGAATCAAAGTGGTGTCTGTAATATAACATGTGCCCTGTTCAGTGCCACCCCTCTGGTGCAGTACAACATCAAACCAATCACATGCCCTGACTTCTGCTTTGGATGATCTGTGAAACTGTCTGGTTTATTCCGAGTAACACAGCTGACGTTCCTCTCCCGTTCGTGGTCGAGCTTTAGGAACAGGTGCTCGCAGGGGGGCAGAGACGAGTATTTGTTTTGCGTCCGGGACCCGTCCTGCGTGACGGTGCGATTCTGCTGTCAGGATTACCCGGGGTTGTGTGTGGACCCGAGTAAGCACCCGGTGGTAATATGTCACCCGCGGAGCACAACAGAAGAGTGGAGCGTGGGTCAGCTGGTCAGGTTACGCGTGTGTTGATGGTTGCTTTGCTTGTTGTCGTTAGCCGTGCCGGTTTCGACTTTATTTTCCAACGTTTCTGCCACCCTGCAAGTTACCGTGGCGAGCCAAACCACAGGCCTGGGTGTGGTTGAGCATGTCTGCCATCTCTAGATTTCTCATTCTGGGCGGTTTTATATTTCCCCACCCAAAAAATGGCAGGGGACATGAGTTTCCACTACTGGGTGGGTTCCCTAATGTGCAAACTAAATTTCCAACTAAATCAGGATCAGTTTTTTTTCGCCAAGTCTGTTTAGTTACGCACACATGGAACTTGTTCTGGCCCCTAGATGCAGCATTTAATACACACATTAAAGTACGTATATATGATGAGTGCAAACAGAGAAACACACAAATAGGATGTATTATATCTATCTGAATACTGCAAAAGAGCAATGTCTAAATGTGTGTACAAATGTGCAAAAAAGCAATGTCCAGGTTCTGCTCCCGGATGTCCACTGGAGTTTGCATATGTGCCGATAAGTGAATATATATGCATATTAATTGTGCAACAAGAGCTAGTTGTTTATAGAGTTGTGCAAAGGAAGTGCAATGTCTAGCTAGTGTTCAAAATGTCCATTGAGGTATTTGTATCAGTGCCAATAGTGATCAGCATGGGTATCAAATAGATGGCGGGGCTACGGCCAGTCTGGTGCCAGTCTGGTGCCAGTTCCCCCACTGATCCATAAACTGTACCCTTTAGCTCTTACAGATCAGAATCTCACATATCTGTGTGGTGTCATCCTTTCTCACATTTGGTGTTTCTCTTTTCCAGCTCGTCCAGTGTGGTGAATTGAATTTCCAACCCCAAAAATAAGGCCTTCTTTCACTATTTTTAAACATTGTGTAAATGTTTAAACCAGTGTTTCACAGCTATTTCTGTGTCAGAGACAAACAAACATGGGTATTTCCCGTCATATGCCAAACTTACACTCGAGACAACTTATATATAACAGGGAACTAGTAAAGAACAGAAATAATTGTTGTTAGAAATCTAAGAGACTGGTTTGTGATAACTCGGGGACCAGTGTTGGTCCGGAACCATAGTTTGAGAAACACTGGCTTGGACTTGTATCTCCCATCTGCATCTTGAGGCCCTTTCAGAGTCGTCCATCAATCATCCCTCTAACTACCCTAACGATAATTATAATAATAATTATAACGAAACCTTAACTCATGGTCATTTTAGCTACTGTAGCAAATCCCTGGCTTGCTATGTCCATGCTAGCTTCATCACTCGTTTGAATCCATTTGATTGTGGTGTATTTGTGACGTGTGCATTCAGTCTAGTGTTGTGTTCGGTGGTTAGCTAGATTAGCCTAAGTGACAATGGCCACAGGAGGAGTTGATGGCTTCCTGGTAGAGTGCATGCTTTGTATGTATGATGTCCTGGGTTCAATCCCCAGCTGGTAAAATAAAGGATAAAAACATTTTTTTTAAACCACTGTTTGATGATGATCTTTCTCAGTGAACTCCTGGTTGCAAGACGACTGTGAAGATATTCAAACCCCACAATGTCCGGACGGGTGAGTCCTGTTCTATATCTATCCCTGTAATGTTTTAGTAATAGTTGAATCATTTAATATGAGTGTTTTCTTACCTTGTTCGGCACATCTTGCTGCTAATGCGTTAGCGGATAGCTGAGACTGTTGTGAGACAAAAACACAATCAGCCAAAGTACATCCCTGGGGAATCTGATTGGAACTTCACTAAGGGGGCAGCTGATTGGAACTTCACTAAGGGGGCAGCTGATTGGAATGTCACTAAGGGGGCAGCTGATTGGAACGTCACTAAGGGGGCAGCTGATTGGAACGTCACTAAGGGGGCAGCTGATTGGAACTTCACTAAGGGGGCAGCTGATTGGAACGTCACTAAGGGTGCAGCTGATTGGAACTTCACTAAGGGGGCAGCTGATTGGAACTTCACTAAGGGGGCAGCTGATTGGAACTTCACTAAGGAGGCAGCTGATTGGAACTTCACTAAGGGGGCAGCTGATTGGAACTTCCCTAAGAGGGCAGCTGATTGGAACTTCCCTAAGGGGGCAGCTGATTGGATACATACATGGATACATACATGGGGCAGCTGATTGGATACATACATGGATACATACATGGGGCAGCTGATTGGATACATACATGGATACATACATGGGGCAGCTGATTGGATACATACATGGATACATACATGGGGCAGCTGATTGGATACATACATGGATACATACATGGGGCAGCTGATTGGATACATACATGGATACATACATGGGGCAGCTGATTGGATACATACATGGATACATACATGCAGATTTGTGTATTAGCATTCAGGTTGCAACTTTAGACTCTTTAGCCGAATATAAAGTAGTCTGGTGGATTGTCCTGAAGCAATTTTTGGTCAAAAGGGCTGGGATGGTGATGTGTTTTTTCCTAAATGACTGACATCACTAATTGGACAGCTTTCTGTGGGCTGTCACGTCAATTTATGGTTTCTTTGAGTGTTTTTCCTTTACAGGAAAAACACAGGAATCTCCTCTTTTGCAATAGTTTTTTGTCCGGATGCATAGATAACGGTTTGATACTTTATAAGTTCCTAATACTACATCAGTTGGCTCTGTTATTTGTTATGGGCGAAGGAGCGAAAGAACAGCAGAAAGAGAGAGGGGAGAAACTTACTGTTGTGTTTGAATTCAGGTTTTCGGTTTGAGGAGAGTTTCAGTATTAATCAGAAACCCTGTGATCCAAAGAGACATTGGATGTATCTTATTCATCTTGGATGCGTCCAACCACAGGGCAGTTCCTGTCTGCGCTTTCCTCCCTGTCTCTGTCCGTCTTGAGTCAATACAGACTCTACTTTGTACACTTCGTTTATGTTTCTCCCTGAACCAATTCTCCACACATTCCAGATTTAGGCAGTTGTTTGTTCCTGCTTTTCTGTGGATGTATTTATATTCTAGATCCCTGCAAGTTGAGTTTCGGAATGTAGCCGTTAACTGTCTCATTCTCTGGCTTTGCGTGTTTACCACAGTTTTTCCAAACCTCCCCTGATCCTGGTGTCTTTGGACGGCTTCCGGGCGGGATATTTGAACCAGAGCGTCCGTCTCCCAGTCATAAGCAAATTACGTAAGTCGGGTTAGAGTTATATCCGACACGGACGGGCGACAATTGCCGTTAGATGTCATGCAGACTCCAATTTTCAATGTTGATAAAGTTTCTTTTTACAGTTTGGATGAAACTTCCCAGTTTGAGGAAGCTAACAAAAACAAGTATAGTTGTCAACTTTACAACAGAAAAGCGGCCTTACTGGAACTAGTTTTGATATCCTTTGATTTAGGCAGCTGTGGTACCACCACGCCATACATGAGACCAGTTTATCCCACCAAAACCTTCCCAAACCACTACACCATCGTCACGGTACGTGTTTACTTTGCCCATTTGTTTTCCATTTCAGATAATCAGGAATCCACAGTCATAAAAACAACCAGACAATTTCTCTATTTGCCGATTGTGTTCATCCTGAAATACATAAAAGCCACCAATGAATGAAAAAAGCTGCTGCTCTTGTCGTGCTATGGCGGTTTGCAAATTGTGAATTCAATTTCAATCAATCAGCATTGATGTAATATTTGAATGCAGTTTTCCATCTCGCCAGACCGTTGCCCTGAATGGTGTCCAGAGCAAATCTCAGAATCTATTGTAGTGTTAAAACAACTCAATTTACCAGACAACTTTGCCTTGCACTGTGGTGGTCAGCAAGGCACAGCGGTCTGCAGTGGAGTTCCCCCCAGCTTTATTGGCTTCGCCCCGAACTTTCAGTTTCATAGCAGACTTGTATTTCTGTACAGCTGTGGCTTTGTTTAACGACATCTGTGAAATTCATGTGTAAAGATAGACAGACAACATGATCATGATCCGCTAATTGTGTGTGTGTGTGTGTGTCTGTGTCTGTGTGTCTGTGTGTGTGTGTGTGTGTGTGTGTGTGTGTGTGTGTGTGTGTCTGTGTGTCTGTCTGTGTGTGTGTGTGTGTTACTCCAACAGGGCCTCTACCCTGAGTCACATGGGATCGTGGACAACAACATGTACGACGTAAACCGCAACGCGTACTTCAGTCTGAAAGACCCGGAGAAATTAAATGCTGCATGGTACCATGGAGAACCAGTGAGTAGACCCAGGTGTCAGATCTTAATTTAAGAAGGTTGGCTAGGGGGCGGGGCCAATAGTCCCACGGAAACGGGAAGTGTGATTGACATGTTCATTATTATCCATGGAAACGTGTGTAGCGCTTCCTACAATTCTCAAGTGCAATGTTTAAGGGGAGACGGGGGTTACCATGGTTTCACGGTGTTTACTCAAACAATGCTAATTGTGGTATATTATAATGACATCACCGAGCTGGGTGCAGGGTACATTCTGCACTACGTTCTGTTTACTATTAATCACGACTTTAAATCCAAACGCATGTCAAATGACTAGAAGGAAATTGAACTTGTGAGCTGCAGAGATGGAGGGGTCGTGTGTAAATATTTACCAATATGGCGCTTGTAAGGCCAGCACCGTGGATGGTCATTTGGGCTGGGGGGAGGGTGCACTGCTCTCTGTTTTAATAGGCTAGGATCGTTCATCATTTGTGTTTTGTCTTAAACGCTGGTGGGTATTTTCAGCTGGAAAGAAAGAGTACGATCATTACTTCACTGATAAAAAAGAGAGGCCTCCATCTTCCTTTATAGTCTGAGCCTGGTTACCAGTGAGGCCAACTTGGCAGTTTGGTTGCTAGATTTAGAAACTTTTCAGAATAACTCGGCTACTTTTATTTTATGTAAAATGTATTTGAAAGACATTAACACAAAAATGCAGTTTTTTTCTACAGATCACGCATGCATAATGATATATGAAGTGCTCACAGTCTGTTTCTTTGTGATTGTGGTCATTTAATTAGCTGTCTTCGATTTGTACAGATAGTCACTCGGCTCTCTGAGAAATGCCAAGTAATGATGGTTTTCCCTCCGCAAAAAAACAGCTCTGCGCCTTGTGCCCGTTTACGCACAGGCGTGGTTTTCACGAAAATTGGAGGACTCTCCTATCTCTGTGTCTAGGACACAAACGTTTCTGTTAAATTGATAATTAACAGATAATTCATAATTAACATATCTGGCTGGCAAGGTTTTCTTCACCTATCGGCTGTACTTATTTTGATTTGTAAACCATTGTAGACATGTTCAGATGTTTTTCTTGGGTTAACAGAAGAAACACGCTCCTTCGGACAACCAACTTGGATAGCAGAAAAAGCAGATGTTGCACGCCATGTCTTCGCTCTACTTATTAGTAACAGTGCGTTAACCGACTATTTCTGTCCAGGTTTGGCTCACTGCAATGTATAATAAACTGAAGTCAGCCACGTTCTTCTGGCCAGGCTCTGACGTGGCTATCCAGGGACGACTTCCTGACTTCTACCATCTGTATGACAAGTGAGAACCTAGCGTTATTTATATTTCTGTGTGTGTGTCTGTGTCTGTGTGTGTGTGTGTGTGTGTGTGTGAGGTCAACACTAAAATGTCTTGCTAATTCCAGGGATGCAGCCATACCACTTCAAATTGTCCAAACTAATTCCTTATTAATTATGATTAATTCCTTATTAATTATGATTAACTAGATCACTTATTCGGCCATTTTGTTGACTTGTGCTCTCGATGTTAGCTTAATATTTAAAGTGCACAGTAGGAACGGGGATTTGGAATGGACAAATAGGTATGTGGCACGATTTTCGTTAAGAGAATTACTTTTAGGTTAAAATCATTACATTGCTTGTGAATTTGCACGTTTAACTTGTTGTTATTCAATCACAACGTGATCAAAGTGGCCATTGATTAGAAATCGCACAGTTCATTGTTGTATTCTCAATTAGCCTGGTGTCAGCTAACTTACATAGCGGGCGTTAGCTAGCTCATTTAAGCTAGATAGGCACTTAAAACAATAGTTTTGCAAAGTGACAATCGACTAACCCTGTTACCATATTGTTGACCCGCATTGGGGCATTTTAAATGCCAGTATCGGATCGGGGCATTCCAAGCTCATTTGGTAGGCAATGGTTTTCTACTGAATAGCAGAGGTTTGTTTCCGATGAGTAGTTGTAAGTTAAGAGTGCAGTTCTAATGTGTTTGAGCCTGTGCCTTGGGATACAGTCTAAACTGAAGAAATGAAATGTATATGTTTGTTCCAGGTCCACCTCATATGAAAAGAGAATCTCAGCCATATTTGATTGGCTGAATTTGCCTCAAGATCAAAGGTCAGGTATATGCATCTCAGGCTTCACATTACACATCTCTATCATGTTCATCACCCCGGTTTTCAAAACTCTCCTTTGGAGCCAGAGACAATTCCCGATTGTATTGTAGCCCTCAACTAGCGCACCTGAATCAAACCTAAC